GGTTGGGGGTGGGGGTGGGGGGTAACCCGGTTGGAGGCACGGAACTTTCGGGGCCCAAAGCGCCTATTACACTGCAGTTTAGAAACCAGTAGGGATCACAGATGATGAGATGGTGTTCGAGAAAGACCATGACGTAATGAACAGTGGTCGACCTATTAGGTCATATTACCAATTCGTTATACGATAAGTCGTTTATGAGGAAAAAGTACAAATGGACTTGCGTTTCACATAAAGTACTTATGATATTGGACTGATATTAAGTAAAATTAAATTTTGCTGTACAACTATTAGTATAGACTTTCAGTACCAAATTTAATCGAAATCCTTCCAGTAGTTTCGGATATGTAGGATGCGGTGGATAGACACATCTTTTGCGAAAATGTTTAAATTTTATTCAGACAACATAGAATTTTATGGGAGGATAATGTAAGGCGGGGTCTATGGGAGATAGGAGTTGAAGGAGACTGGATTTTTTTGGCCCAGGAAAGGGTCTGGTGGAGGGCTTTGGTTAATTCGGTGGTGAACCTTTGGTTTCGGTAAGCCAACTAGTTAACATAAAATTTATCTTTGCATCAGTATAGTGTAAGGTAAACGGGCTGTTAAGAACTTACCTGAGCAGCGTGGAACACTAAACCTGTTTGATAAGAAGATTGTAGGCGACTATAAAACCGTAAGGGGAATGCCATGCCTTGGCCTTCGTGGTCTGTCTGTGGCCCAGTGAATGACGAAGGCAGATGATTTAGATAAACATGAATGGATTCTCTTGTACTTTAACATCAATTAAACAAATACGTATCTCGTAACAGGTGCAAGTCACACAGTAAACGGTGGCTGCTGGCGGTAAACAGAGCTGCACACGTTCACCGAAATAAACACTTCGCTCTGTCTTTTTCCCCTCTTTCCTGAGCATCGTGTGCGACGATCTCGCGGTGACCAAAGTCCATCCACACGCATGAATGTTCTTCACTTACGTAGAGTGGTTATGACGCCCGCTTCGTATTATGGAGGTCCCGGAATCAAAAATGTCTGCCCGGAGACTGGCTATCCTGACTGAGGTATTTTGTGGGGTTTCCCCAGTCCCTCCTGGAAAGTTTATTCCAGCCAATGAATGTTAGTAATTAAATGAGTGACTAAATATTCAATTTTGGTCAAACTGTACGTGGTCTTTCTGTTGATGACTGTCTCCATTTTCACGCAAAGGAAAATGGTACCGCTATGTGGGACTTATTATGTAAAGTTATTCCTAAGTGAGATTTGAGGTGAGAACGAAGACGTCTGTCGTCTATATTGTAACCTGGTAGATCATCGCTCTGAAGGTGAGGCAGTATGACCTCTGAAACGTTGGTAAATTTCAACCAGTCTACACGGCGCTACAACCCAGAAGACAGACATCTTGATATCTGTATCCAGTCTTTCAGGAGACTTACCAGATATGTTTACGGTCGATCACTATCCGAATTTCGGAGGAAATCTGAGAAATTAAACCTATTTTCCAATGAACAGAATTCTTGAATTGTGTTGCTATTATTCACATTTGCCACTCCATCAGGGTCAGCGATAACACTGGTGTTAGGCGACCTTTAAACTCACGATAGCGATGTGTGCGATTGTATCACGAGGATGCTGAAAACAAGATCGCGTGCGCCAAAATGATCATCGCACGTGAATCTGCTTCACAGCAAGGAAAATCTTACATGTGACATCGAAGTTGTGTGTATGCATGAGTGAGTGCGTGCGAGTTCGCCTACATCTCGAGAAAGGGTGAACAGATTTGCACCAGACTTGGCATGCTTATTCCTTGGAATCGGGAAGAGGTTTTAGAAAAGTCATATTCCGAAAATATGCCCTGGGTTCGAAACTCTGTAAAGGTGGTTTCTGTATCTTAGAATCCAGGCACGATAGAATGTTGCTAAGACTGGAGGTGTATGATTTGAGGTTTTCACAGCGGTGAGTATGAAAATTTCTGTCTTCTGGGTTGTTGCGCTGTGTAGTCTGGTCGATGTTTACCAACGTTTCAGAGGTCATACTGCCTCACCTTCAGAGCGATGATCTACCAGGTTACAATATAGACGACAGACGTCTTCGTTCTCACCTCAAATCTCACTTAGGAATAACTGGAGGTGTTTGTTTCGATGATGAAATTGCATAAACTGCCACAGCCCGAAAAATATATCCTGGGTTCCAGTCCCCTTAAGATATTTGTTTGTAGCTCGGAATTTAAGCAGGATAGAAGAAAGGCTCAGAGAACGAAATTGTTTGTTTCGGTGACGAGAGTACAGGAACTAAGTTCGTAAAGCCGAAAACTGTCATGGATTGGAGATTCGGTGAAAATGGCTTTATGAATAACATTTTTTCTGATACCCAACGATACGTAACAAATGATCATCCAAATGATAGGCTTTTGGTCAGTAAAGATTAAAAATAAATTCCCCGCAGTAACAATCTTGGGCTCTCTGCTGGTGTTATAATTAATTAGCTCTGTGGCGTATAAGCATATTGAAAAAAATGTTCAAGAAATTCTCTGCTTTTATAAAAAACCCAAGGTTATAACCATTTTCCTAGGAACTTGTATCTGATCCTATCCTAAGCCATTTGAATCCGGTCTACAACTTCGTACCATATTTCTATAAAATCCGTCTTAATATTATCCTCTCATCTGTACTTAATTCTTCAAAGTGGTGTCTTTAATTGGGATTTCCTACCAAATATTTTGCACATTTTTGTACTTTCATTGTAAATGCTGTATAGCCCATAGTGCTCATGTTTATTCATAAAAAACTTTTCAGCATTAAATAATGTGAACGAAAAAAGAATCCCCGCATAATGGAAAATTTTCCCGACTTCTATTACTTGATCGCTCTTCTTAATTTCTAATAATATACATTGGTTTTATTATGTCCGTCCGTTTGTGAACAATTAGGCATAACAGATTCCAAACTACATAACCGATTTTGATCAAACAGGGCTTGATACGTACACCTGCAATAAATTCCATCAAATCAGTTTAATTTTCTTCAATTTGGCTTATTTTAAGAACCACGTTTCGAGTTTATAAATGATCTTCTGCGTTACTTACATATTTGGAATCCTTTGAAATATTTACATGACACATGTTGTTCAATGTATTAATTTTAAGTCCAAAATAAAGAGCAGGTGTATAAATCGCTTTTGAGCGAAAAATTTCACGAATAAACGTTGTACGGACCTTTAAAATACACATGTGGTAACTTATGCAATATTTTGAAAAAAATCTTTAGTACAATAATAATATCTATTACGTGTGCGCCGTCAAACTTTCTGCAATCGCTCTGCTATCTATATGACGTACGCCCGATTACAACACAGCAGACACGCCATGAACGTAACCTTAACAAAAAGCTTTGTTTCAATATCACCCACCAAGTGTACAGTGAATTTGCCCGTTTCTTTGTTTGTTAAAATATTCGTCATAACGAAACTTCCCTGAATCTTTAATTAATGAAAATAATAGACCAATCATATGTCAAGGAATATATTGTCACCTTCGAAAGCTGTTTTCTTTTTCTTTTGTTAATATTTAGTCTAAACGTGTTCACGATATTTGTCATTCAACTAACACAATACTACTTATATAATAAATATTCTCAGTTCGCGTGTATACTGTCGATAAATACGATAAACACATCGATAAATATGTAACTATCGAACTGTAAACGTAATGAATACATTGACATACGTTGACATACTCTATTATACTTTTTCGCATGAAGGGCCTGTATATTGTCATAATTAATCTTCAAAACTATTACATAGACTTTGATGAAACTCGATATTGGTGGTAGGCTTATGTACTAAAAACGTACTGACAAAAATTATGATTTTATTTCGTGTCTATTGTCTAAATAAAACGTCTGATGATCGAGCAGTAAATTAACACAAACATAAAAGTTTAGGCCTGCTACTTATTATAGTTGATACATCCTTCATATGGCGAAAAATTAACCAAATATAAGACGAATTAATTATAAACTATTTGTTATGAAATATGTAGAGACAAACACAATTAACTTTGGCAACAAAAGATATTAATAAGCAACAAATGAGCATTTAAGTAGAGTGAGATAAACAAATTCGCGCTAAATAGAAAATTCTTAAATTCCTAATTTCTTTCAAAAGTTATATAGGCTCCTATACCCTATTCTATTGAAAATAATTTATACGAAGATTCTACACATAGCTATCAGCAACTTATTGTTCTTCAAGATGGCAATCTTGTGGAATGGTACGCCTTATAGTCTAGTAGAAATTAACCGACTTTTCGCAGGTGCTCATTGCCTCCAGCATCAGGGCGACATCGCAATACCCCAGAAGACAGTCGTCTCCTCACCTGAAATCTCATGAAGACAAGGAATTTTGCAGGATTTTGATGGGTGCTCTAAGAATATCCACTTTCTAGAACGAGAAAGAGATGAGAAGTTATCATTACGAGGATTTTAGGGAGATTAATTGTGAAGATATGTTGTGGACATAACAGGTCTGTGTCCAGTGGTCAGTTTTCGTATTACTGGAATTGGACTTCCGAGTTCTGCTACCAGAGGTTTAGTTAGATGTATTTAATATTAGGTTTGTCTTGTATTCTGCAAGCAATCTGCTTCAGTCATTGTGTTTTACTTATTTTCCTGTTTGTTGCAACCAACTTGATCTATTCATTCCATCTGTCTCAGTCTGTGGGTCATAATATCTTAGTCAAGGAGGTGACAGACTACACGCTGAACGCCTGGGAATCGATTCCATAAGCAAACTATTCTTCTCACCGAAACGGCTGTGTTCAGAACGGCTCTGTAGGCCACTTACTCACCTATCCAATGGGCAATGGACGCTGTATCCCGGTAATTAAAGCGGCCAGAGCTTTAAGTGGATATCTGTATCCAGTTATGAGGTCTAAATTGCGTGAAACTTTATTCCACAGTCCCTATATGCCTTCACGTCTTGTTTCCGAGGGACAGAAATTAATAACTTTATTCGGTGTGACTGATTATGTACTTGCCTAATAGTCTCAAGCGATGAAATAAAATGGCGTCGAATTAAAGAGTAATGTGATCATGAATGATGAATAAATGAAGATTTGAAGACTGGTGGTCACTGTATACTTGGATTTACTCGTGTTATTCTGGTTCATTGGTTCTAGCGCCATCTCATTTGCTTGGAGTGACTGGCGAAAACCACAGTAGTGCTATCAGGATAGCAGGTTTCCTTGCCGAAATTCAACCCCGATGTCTTCAGCACAAAATCATTTCTTGGAATATGTTGCACAAAGGTCAACCGTTACACCAGACTGTAAAGTCGAATCGTTGTCAGCATACAATGTTTGGGGATCATTAACCAAGGCACGTTAATTGCACAAAGAATTTTTATTTATTTTGTTCAATAATTTAGAAGGACTTTGTTTATTTCTACAGATTGTTTTGTATATTGTGTAGTTGACTCCATCCCCACTTAATGGTATTAAAAAATACCTGCACCTTGTCGTGGTGGTGGGGCTTGAGTACCTCAGTGACCCCAAGAGCTTCTGGTAGGGCCTCCCTACGGGGAGAGGTCAGACTAAGACAGGTACCCTGGACCTCCAGGTTGGGGGTTGGTCTCAAAGCTAACAACCTTGCACCGTAAAAAGGAAGATGTTTCGAAACCTCAATCAAAGCCTCGGACAGAGGAGAATTGAGGCCATGGACCGAATACTGACCGGAGAGCCATAGAAGAAGAAGAAGTTGACTCCATGGAGCAAAGTCCTTCTTGAGTCGCTCAGATAATCAAGAAATTTCCTGCCTTTTATGGACGCCGAATGTTTCATCGCTGTGTTTACTAGAGCCATACGGAGCCAGTCCACGCCCTCCTACCCCGTTTCCATGGGATGCATTTCAGCCTAATAAAAACCTTTAATTTATGCCTTGGTATACTACGCCGATAATTATTATTATTTATTCTTTCCAGGTTTTCCTGCTACTGGTCTTTTTGAACCAATGGTGATCCGCACCGCTAAGGCTTCCTTTTTCAGATTGTAATATTTTCCTTGTCATGTGTGATGTCCCTCTGTGGCTGTCTTGTAGAGAATCTGTTGATTGCTTTCCTGGTATAGTTTCCAGATATTTGTTGTTATCTTTGTCCTTAATCTTTAGATGTTGCGGATAAATGACATATTGAGTACATCGGTTGTGATAAATGACAATTTTTCAGCACGTTTTCCTGCCCCTTCGAGATAAATAGACATAAGCAATAATAGCCAGAGATCAAAGTTAAAGGTAAGAGCTGTGTCTCAGTTTACTGCCATCTTTTGACAACAGTTTCAACTTCGTGCGTGTAGTGTGGAAAAAAACGCAGCTCTCTAACTCAAGAATCCGAGTTATTGCGTTTTAACCATGCATCAGGTGCAAAGGAAATTTCATTACCATTTCATTCGCCAGGATATGCATTTTTAACGCCAAAATAAATTCGTTAATTACTTCCGTATGTTCTATTCACGAGTACCGTTGTCATTCAGCAACACCTCAGAAGCGCTCCAGCGCTAGATACATATAATGCACGTGACAAAGACCATTTTGTGGGAATGTGTTCATCAGTTATTCTCAAAACTTTTAACCATGAAACACAATTTGTGACGAAACCTACAGACAGAACAACAAACCGGCTTCAAGCAATGCGTTTATTCTGATTTCACATACGTAATTGGCTCTAATGCTCATTTATTGCAGGTACCAGTCTGTTGTCGCAAAGGTGATCACACTACCTTGAGATGAAAATTATGTTTCCTGGTATTTCGGTAAATATTTATCAAATTGAAAACCGCTTTAAATACAAATTTAAATCTTAATAGGAAACTACTACACGAATACAATATAATACTATACAAGAGGACTCCTTGGATGAGGGATCGGCCCGTCGCAAGGCCTGTATCTGTTCATAGGACAGCACAACACAGAAAAACGCGGACAAACATCCATGGCTTGAGTGGGATTCGAACCCACGGTTCCAGCGACACAAGGCCCACGCCTCAGACCGCGACGACACAGCGGACGACAATAATGTATAACATATTAAAATTGCGATTAATATGATAGCCCATGAGCTAAATTTCATTTCCTATTTTTCAAACGTAACATAAAACACGGTTTGTAAAGCTATCTAATTAAGATAACATATTTTTTCAGTTTTATTAATTATTTTATCTGAAATTGATGTGTTCAGAGACATCGGGGCATACAGTTATTGTGTGTTTTATGTATTGAATAATTTATAATAGAGCAGCATAAGGTGAAGGCTCTGCATTTGAAAGTATGCCATCCTTTCAACAACTAGTTTCTAAAGAAATACCAAAATTCAGGTTAAAACGTAAGTTTAAGTCATTTTTAATGATAGTTAATAGCAGGTAGAACGTAACTTGCATTGTAGTACTCCACACCTCAAGCTAAATTCTTACTTGATTTCGGCGAAGGACGCCTCAACGACCACGACGACGTGGTAGTGGTACCTGAAAACATTGTTTGTACGGACGATTTAGTCTAAAAGATTTGCGGAGATAACATAAGAAACAATGACTTCGAAGAGCTTAAAACTACCGCAATCTTTGCTGCAAGAAATTGTGACGTCGACGAAATAAATGAGAGAGTTGTTGACTTACTAGACGAAAAGACTGAGCGAATCTACTCGAGCATTGACGCTGTCGAAGACTCGGACAAAGAAAAGTTCAGTGAAATGGTGACACCCGAATACTTAAACAGTTTGCGACCACGATCACTGCCCCCACATAATTTGCGACTACGTAAGAACGCTATTGTCATGTTGGTACGTAACTTAAGCGTTTGGGAAGGATTAGTTAACGGAACACGTTTATCAGTACAGCAATGACCAACAACCTCCTTCAATGTATGGTCACAACGGGAGATCATTCCGGTGAAATTGTTATCATTCCACGTATAAAACTACGTATACTGTGACAGCGAATACCCATTTATCATGTGGAGACACCAATTCCCCGTAACGAGTGCCTTCGTAATCACTATCAACATAGCTCAAGGCCAAACGTCCAAACGAATTGGCATTTATTTAGAACAGGATGCTTTCACACATGGACAAATCTACGTCGCATTTTCACGTGCACCAAGCGACCATTGTATATTTGTTTATCTAAAAAAATGACGAGAAAATAATCTCATTAAAAACGTTGTCTATGCAGAAATATTGAACGAACAGAGCATGACAGACAGGAGAACAGAAGACATTAAAAGAAAAGAACGTTAGCGAAAACTCGGTATGAATCTTGACACAGTGAAACAGTTGAAATGTTGTTAAAAAAAGAATAACTCATGAAGAGAATGAACAACCTATACAGAGAGTGACGCAGAATAAAACGACGATTACACGTTAAATTGTACCAGCTAGTCTAAAAGAAATTATATTCAATGACAATTGACCTCCGAGATTGCAAACGTATACAGACATCATCAAAACATACATAATGTCCTTTCAATACGACAAAACCTTAAAGAAGATTTGAGAAGAGGTTTCCAAAGTGTGTCCGAAACGATCTACAATATTTTCGAGAATTTACCTATTGAAACGCAAAATCTGTTTGAATATCAGACGGTGAATACAAAAACATGTAGAAATGGTTATCAACGTCAAGAAAGTTATAGAAACCAAACATTGATAATGAACATACCACAAACGAACGCGACAAACTTCAGAGACTTATTGAACTATCAAACACAAACAGACGTGTACTGAATGTCAACAACACTACCTATGTGGAACGAAAGAAATTGTTGTTGGTGACCGTTAAAGTACATGATTTTGGAAATAAATAGATTGACTCTAAATGGAGTACGCACATTTTAAATAACGAGAATGAGACAAGACAACCAATTTATGTATGGAAAATATTAGAAATTGCAAAGTGCGGTCGAATTTGTAGACATTAAAGGTACTGGAGACGACGGACATTTTAAAGCATGGCGACGTTATAACGATGAATGCCTTATCTTCGGGGGGTTGGTTGCGTTTTAAAATCTTGAGTAAGACACTAAACTTTCCTTTCGG